CACACACACACACACACACACACACACACACACACACACACACTCACCACAAGATGCAAGGACCACAAAGCTCAAACCTGGGGCTGTGGGTGGGGTCGGGGGCAGGCCTGGGCAGATGCCCTACTTAATAATGGTTTTTAAGGAGCGGGTGAATGTGCTCATAACAGTCGCTGAAGTTGGGGAGCCTGGTGGGGGCCCTGTGGCTGCCCCTGTAGCTGCTGCTGCTGCTGCAGCTGCCTGCTGCTGCTGCTGCTGGTTAAGGTTCCGGGCTGTGGACTCCTCAGCTGCACGCAGCAGGAAGGTGTAATTCCTCACCACCTCTTCCACCTTGGCCAGAAGCTCTTGGCGCTGGGCCTCGGAGCGCACGATGAATACCAGCCGCACAAAGGTCTCAATGAGGCTGCTCAGCACCTGGAAACTGCCTGTGATGGCTGCCAACATGTGAGTCGGGCTCTTGTCCACATTGGCCACCCGGCGGCAGGAGGCCCGGAGCTCCTTGAACTTGAGAGCTAGCTCCAGCTTGTACTCAGAGATCTGAGAGACATAGGGCTTAGGGGCACGAGCCTCGGGGCTGGCCACACACTGCCTCAAGACTGTCAGCAGTTCATTGGTATCTAGCCGGGCAGCCAGGAAGCCATCAGGGAGGCCATAGGCATGGGCACGCAGGGCATTGATCTTGGCCAGGCTCCCCTCGAAGGTGGACACCCGAAGGTCAATCTCCTGGGTGCGGGAGGCCTCGGGGCTGCTGCTGCAGGTGGCAGCATCCAGCACCTGCAGGGTCCTGCTTACTACAGGCACCACCTGCTCATCCAACTTCATGCCAGGCAGAATCTTCATGGGGATGGAGTAGGAGAGCTCATCCTTGCCATCACTGGCATCATCTGCCATATCACACTTGCGGTAGTAGAAGCAATAGCGAATGGAGCAGCACTTGCTAGTCTCACTGTCCTCATCTAGATCGGCAGGCTTCCGGTACACCTCCTCTGGCAGTGAGAACACGGCCATTGGCCTGGGGCCTTTGGTCTCAGGGGTAACCTGGACATATGAGGGGTCTCCCAGGGTTGGTGATTCCACAGACTTGCTTTTGGGACCCAAGCCTAGGGGGAGGCCTGCCTCTACCTCCTTGGCCTCCCTGGGCAGCATGCCCAGGGGTGGGTGTGGGTAGACATCTGAGGTCAGCGAAGCCCTGTCACCTTGGTCCAGCTCACTGATGCTGTAACGGCGCATCAGCTTCCTGTAGTTGGGAGCTCCCAGACACTCACCCCCCGAGGCACACGTGGTCAGGCACGAAACACCACTTTCTGGGTCCGATCGGCACTCTCGAGATTCCAGGCTGGTGGAACGGATGCGTCGGATATTGATGGGGCTACCAAGGCTCAAGCCTGGGCCAGCCTCTGGCTGTCTCTGGGTAGGGGGGACCCTGTCCCTCTCCCTCCCCTGGAGGCCAGGCACCGGTGTCTGGGCAGCCTGTGGTCGGCCCCCTCGGCAGATGCGCTTGCAGTCACAGCTACGCCTTTGCTCGCGGGACATGCCAGGCCCCTGTTGCACGGGGCTGCTGCGTAGCTGGCAGCTGCAGCGGCCAGGTGCGGGAGGGTGCAGGTACTCAGTGCCCGGTAGCTCCCCCTGGCTTGGTGGCTTTAGAAGTTCCTCGAGGAACTCCAGCTCATACTGCTTTACCTTCTGCAGCTGCGCCTGTCGCTCGTCAGTCTCCTTCTTTTGGCGGGTGGGGAAGGTGGCAGAGAATAAATTGCGTAGCCGGAAAGGACCACGGGATGACTTGGGCTTTGTGGGACCTTCAGAGGATGAGTGGGCTCCATCCAGTGTCGTCTCAAGCTTCCTGGAGGGCATGGTGCTCACCTGCCGGCTGCTAGCCTGTGGCCTTAATGGACTCTGGCCTTGAGGTTGGCAGCTAGGGCTCTGGCCTCGTGACTGGCTGCTGGGGCTGTGACCACGGGGCTGGCAGCTAGGGCTGTGGCTTCGAGGCTGGCAGCTGGGGCTCTGCAGAGCCATTGGGTACCCAGCTCGGGGGGCCAGGCTTGTCTCCTCAAGTTTGCTGCTCTTGGAAGTACTTTCCAGTTGCCCCTTCTCTCCCTGGCTGGAGACAGTGCCCTGCTTGTGTGGCGGAGGCTTTGCACCCTCTGCTCCACCCTTGCCTGCCACCTCCCCTGGAGCTTGCTTGCCCACTGACTCTCGACTTGCTCGTGAAAGATGATAGCTTTTGGGAGGGAAACTTGGAACAGGAAGCCTATCCTCTTGTGGGGAGAGGTGTAGGCTGTCAGCCCGGCTGCCTGGGGGTGCTCTGGGGCTGGAGGAGACCTCTGTGCCCAGCTGCTGCTGGGAATTCCGTGAGGTCTCTGGAGCACCGGAGCTCATTTTAAACTTCAGATTCTTATTGGCGCTGCTGCTCACCATGCTAACAACTTCTGGTCTGCCCATGCTGACTTCTGGCCTTCCCCCACTGGCCTCCAACTGTCTCTCCCCTCTGCTTGGGGGGTTCACCAAAGCCCCGCCAGGAGTGGCTAGACTCTTACTGTGAACCACCTGTTGTAGGGCAGCCGAGATGATGGCTGGAGTCACACTGCCTTTTGGGTCCAGGATAAGCTTGGGGCTCAACCTGACCTCCTTAGGCAGATTCTCTCTCATCTCCGAGACCTGTTCTTCACTAATGGATGGTGTGGCTGCTCTCAGTGACATCTCTAGGCCTGCCTTAGTGTGGCCAGGCCCTTTGTCCTCAGGAACTGGGGGCAGTAGGCTCAGATTCTTCTGCTCACTAAGCTGTGGAGACAGCGCTGGGTGCACTGCCAGGGAGTATGATCGCTCTCCCTGTGTTTGGGTCTCTGAGTGGGGCAGCTTTCTCCGAGCCCCTGGGGGGCCAGGACTCTGGCCTGTGACAGTTGGCTGGAGGGATGAGTTGGGATCCGGGCGCCCAAGAGAGTAAGGGGCCGTGAGAACGGCCTGGGCTGCACAACTCTGGATCCGGAAGGGCAGGTCCTTGCGGGCAAGGAGGCTGTCCTTGTTGAGGTGTTGGGCCAGGAAGTAGGTGGTATTCTGGTGCTGCTTCATGGCCGACATCATCTCAGACATGTCTGTGAGCTCTGAAGAGTTAGTTTCATGGCCCGAGTCCAGCGATGATTCGGGAGTGATTGTGGCCAGCACAATCAGACCTGAATGAACAGGGATGGGATTTGTTATACTTACTGATATCAAGTTCTTTTCCAATCAGATATAGAGTTGGTGGAGGCCAAGGTTAGCCAACAGTGTTTAAAACTGGGGAAAACTAAGGCCTGAGAGGAATTCAGGGCTGAGGATGGGAGGAGAGGTGGGGAGGGGACAGAGAGGAGCAAGTTGTAAGAAGGGGTATGAAAGGATGGAATCCAAAAAAGTAACAAAAGAGGCGAAGAGAAGATCTGGGCAGTTTGGTGGCAAATTAACATGCAAATCACATGCAAAAAACAGCCATGCTAATCAACATTATTTTTAGATTCAACAGCTAGGAAATTTCTGTTAATTGTCCTGAAGAGGGCTGGCAATGAGAGAACCCTCTCTATCCCTCCTCATCTGGCCAGGCTGCCCACAGTCTTTGCAGCTGAGGCCATTTAGCTGAGCATGTCCCCTCTCTGGCAGTCACATGGGCCTCAGGCCTGGGAGTAGCTAGCTCTTGGAGCTGTAGAGTCTAAGCAAAGAGAAATACTGGCCCCAGGGTGGGGGGAGGTGATAACAAACATGTAGGGGCTGCCTACGTCAAGGGGGCCCTCATATACAGAAATGGCAGGCTTCCTCTGATGCAGCATCCCATCACCCTCTCTGTCCACAATCTTCCTGGCCTCATGTGCTTGTTCAGATCCCTTATTGCTCCCTATTTCTTTTCTGTTACTATGTCATTTACCTCTCTCTCTCTCTCTCTCTCTCTCTCGCACTGGGGATTGATTCCAGGGGTACTTTACAATGAGTTACATTCCCAGCCCCTTTAAATTTTTATCTTGAAATAGGGTCTCACTAAGTTGCTTAGGGCCTCACTAAGTTGCTGAGCCTAGCTTTGAATTTGTGATTCTCCTGTCTCTGTTTCCTGAGTTGCTAGGATTCAGGTATGCACTACTGTGCACAGCTACCTCTAACTATGGGTACATGTCTGATGTGTTTGTCTAGAATGGACATACATGTGACTATTTCAGCCATGTTTGATGACTCTCCTATCCACTAATAGTTAATAGCAGTAGCTCCCACTTACTGAGTCCTTACTGTTGTGCAAAACAGTGTTTAAGTGCTTTGACTAAATGATCGCATTTAATCCTCACAATAACCCAACATGATGTGACTACTGTTCTCAAACCAATTTAAGATAACAGAGAGGCTCTGAAACAAAAAGTGCCTTGCATCGGGTCACACTGTCTGTGAATGAGGAAACCAGGACTCCGAGATGCCCCTGACTTAGAGCCATGTTCTCAGGTAAGATAAAGACCTTAGCCCTTAGCAATGTTGGCTTCCCCAATCCTAGGTCACTAGGTGGTTAGTTAGTCCTGTTTTTTTTCTTCCAGTCATGTGCATGCTGATATTATTTGCCTAGCTTCTGTATATCTCACGATTTTTTTCTCTCATCCTTCCTCCTAGCCTGGCTCTGTAGCTGTCATGGCTCTAATCCCTGGGTTCTATCTGTAAGACATGTCCAGAGAGATGGACTAGAGATGGAATGGTAAGGGCCAGACCTCTGGCTAGAGCTGAGGAGCCCATCCTGGTCACAGCATTGTTGCTCTGCAAACACTAACTGGATGACCTCTGTGCCATCTACTGCTACTGCTCTGACACACCACAGTGACTTTAATGTCTGTTTGAGAAGAAGCAACATTATCTGTTGGCTCTTCCTGGCCGGAAGAAGGAAGAGGAGGAAGAAGGAAGAGGAGGAAAAAGGGAGAAGGAACAGGCCATTACCTGCAGTCTGTGGGGGTGGGGGGTGCGGTCCATCTTCTGAAGCAGCCAGAGCTTCCAGAGCCTGCAGGGTGGACACTAGAGCATCATCTAGCTCCTGGGCATGATCTCGAACTGTCCGGGTCTGCACACTGTCAATCAGCGTCACTGGAATCTCATCATACAAGAGCCCACGAAGGTGGCGTCCTTGCTCCTGGCTTTGGACTGCTCGGCGCTTGGGGTCATCCTCATCAGAGCTGTTGTCTCGGAAACCAGGGGGTGGGGCAGCAATGGCAGGCAACAGAGAAGTTGTTTCATCTTCCTCTTCCTCTTCCTCCTCACTCCCAGGTGGTGGGAGGGACATCAAGTCTACCATATTGTCACGAGAGGAGCCAGGCCTCCCGCCTTTGCGAGGGCCCTGCTGCTCCTGGAATTTGGCTTTGCATGAGTCACAGTAGAAATTCAGGGCTTCAGCCCCTAGGGAATTGTCCAAGGTGTAGGACCGGGCCCTGCTGGCACAAGGCTCATGGTCTAGGCTGGCTGCATCAAAGTCATCAGGGACCACATCGTAACCTTGGCCAGAGCTTTTGGACGTGGGGTCAGACTTGGTCCGGGGCCTGGTCTCCTCAAAGAAGATTAGGTTCTCGTTGACATCTGTCCGGCTTTCCTGCTCCTTCCTTTGTTCCCGCATGTGGAGGTAGCAGAAGCTGACAAGCTCAGAGTCGGTAGGCGGGGGCGTGCAGCGGCTCGACTTCCTGGGGCTGGCGCCCATGCTGCCCACATAACTACTCTCCTTTTTCCCCAGGTGGCCCCCAGTGACAGGGCGGTGGGCACTGTGCATGTAATCTAAACCCAGAAAGAGAATCAACAGATGAGCCCTAATGCTGAGGACAGTGGCTGAGCTCCCTTGACATGTCTGGATCTTGTCCCTGTTGCACAGATGGCAAGCAGATACCAAGAGAAAGCATTATCTGGCTAGAGATCACAGGGAGGGGAGTTGATGGGACATGTCCCTGCTGACCCTGAAAGTGCAGTGAGTGAATCTTAAGGCCTGAACTGCTAATAACCCCATCACCTTTGAAATGGGAAAAAGCATGGGGTGAGGTGGGGGTGGGGAAATGCCTGACAGCTGAGCACTGCTGGACTCCTACCTCTGGTATGCAGTCAGCTATAAACATTTAAAGAGGTGAGGTTTACTTTACTCCTTTGAGAACTGTCACTGTGGGACCTGCACTTTTTCAGAGCTATCTCAGCCTCCAGTGCTCTATTGCTCCTGTTATCTTGGTTCTCTCCTAGCCCAAGGAAATGCATCTGACAAGCTACTATTACTTTACTGAGAAAGTGTTAATCCAACTAGTGTAATGCCCAATAATTTGTGGTTCAAAGTAGACTGTTGACAGAGGGGCCCTAAAAGAATAGCTGTCTACTTAGTAGAATTCTGGGTATCTGAATGTGTAAAGGGTATGGCAGATATGACAGGATGTGCTATATGGAAGAAGGGTGGGGTTGAATTCTCATAATTCTTCAAAGCTTATTACTTTCCTGTGTTCATGCAGGGCCAGCCCCGCCTGCTACACATACATGTGATAAAATGCTCTTATCAATAGTTTGTTCTTTATTTTTGGTACTGGGCATTGAACTTAGGGGTGCTTTACCACTGAGCCCTTTTCAATTTTACTTCTATTTTTTGAGACAGGGTCTCAGGTGCTTAGGACCCAAGTATCTGAGGCTGGCCTTGAACTTGCAATCCTCTTGCCCTAGCCTCCCAAATAACTAAGATTATAAGCATGTACCACCCCACTGGCATTAATAGCTCTTGATGGTAGGTGCTTACATCTGAGAACTATTTGCAGCAAATGTTTTATTTCTTTTTGGGGGGTAGGTACTGGGGATTGAACTCAGGGGCACTCAACCACTGAGCCACATCCCAGCCCTGTTTTGTATTTTATTTAGAAACAGGGTCTCACTGAGTTGCTTAGTGCCTCACTGTTTCAGAAGCTGGCTTGAATTCATGATCCTCCTGCCTCAGCCTCCCAAGTTGCTGGGATTACAGGAATGTGCCACTGCACCCGGTAGCAAATGCTTTATTTCTGAATGGCTTCTCTCTCATGCTGTTTTGGGAGCCCTTCTGCATGTTATCTGTGAGGATGCACTCAGACAGCAACAGCTCTTTCTGCTATCAGCAGGTAGACAGCAAGCATTAACAGGTCAATTTATTAAACATGATCCCATTTAATCTTCACAATCCAATGAGAGGAAGAAACTGACCCAGATGGTCACATGACTTATCTAAAGTCACATGAGTCATACATGACAATTTGAATTTGATCCCAGATATGAGGGGCTTCAAAACCCATGTTTTCAACCATTACTCTACAGTTTATCATTGTGGTCAAGAATCTATAAAACAAGACTTCAAAATGCTTTCCGGCTGGGGATGTAGCTCACTGATACAGCACTTGCCCAGCATGCACAAGGCCCTGGGTTCAATACCCAGTACTATAAATACAAACAAAACACAAAAAATGCCTTTCCATCTCCAGTTGAATAGGGCGTGGTGGCTCATGTCTATAATCCCAGAGACTTTGGAGGCTGTGGCGGGAGGATGGCAAGTATGAGGCCAGCCTTGGCAATTTATTTTTTTTTTAATTTTTTTTCTTATTTATTTTTTTTAAAGAGAGACGAGAGAGAGAGAGAGAGAGAGAGAGAATTTTTATATTTTATTTTTTAGTTTTTGGCAGACACAACATCTTTGTATGTGGTGCTGAGGATCGAACCCGGGCCGCACGCATGCCAGGCGAGCACACTAATGCTTGAGCCACATCCCCAGCCCTAAGCCTTGGCAATTTAAATAAAATAAAAAGGGCTAGGGTTCAGTGGTAATGTGCTTCTGTGTTTAATCCCAGTACAAAAACAAGAACAACAAACAAACTTTAGTTTGTCAGGGTCAGTATGTCAGTGTTAACTCTTGTTAGAGTTTATAGCTTTGACAAATGCACAGCACTGGAACTAACAACAGAGCCCCAAAACACATGAAGGAAAAACTGAATTTAAGGAGGAAATACACAATACAACTGTAATTGGAGAATTTATCTTTTTTTTTTTTTTTTTTTTGGTACCAGGGATTGAACCCAGGGACATTTAACTGCTGAGCCACATCCCCAGCCCTTTATATTTTAAATTTTGAGACAGAGTCTTACTAAGTTGCTGAGGGTCTTGCTAAGTTGCTGAGATTGGCCTCAAACTTGTGATCCTCCTGCTTCAGCCTCCTGAGCTGCTGGAATTACAGGCAAGCACCACAATGCCTGGTTGTAGTTGAAGAATTCAATATTCTACTTTTTATAATAGTTAAAACAAAAGCAGATAAACAAGGAAATAGAGGACCTGAACAATATTATAAACCAACTAGATCTAACACATCTTATAGAGCACTCTCTCTAACACCAGCAGAATATACATTCTTCTTAATTGCACTTGGAATGTTGTCCCAGATAGACTGTGTGTTGGCCATAAAATAAGTCTCAATAAATTTAAAAGAAATGAAATTATATAAAGCATTTTTTCTGCACAGAACAGAATTCAATTAAAAATCAATAATAGAAATTTGGGAAATTCACAAATAAGTGGAAATTTAACAAAATACTCTTAAATAACCAATAGATCAAAGAAGAAATCACCAGAAAAATTATAAAATACTTTGAGATCAATGAAAATGAATATATGATATGCCAAAACTTTTGGGATCTAGCTAAAGCAGTTCTTAAAGAGGTAATGTAGCTATAAATGCCTATACTTTAAAAGAAGAAAGATTTCAAATCAATAACCTAAACTTCCACCTTAAAAAACCAGAAAAAGAGCTATCTATTTTTTTAATATTTTTTTTTAAAATTCTTTTTTTTTAAGAGAGAGTGAGAGGGAGAGAGAGAGAGAATTTTTAATATTTTATTTTTTAGTTATCGGCGGACACAACATCTTTCTTTGTATGTGGTGCTGAGGATCAAACCCGGGCTGCACGCATGCCAGGTGAGCGTGCTACCACTTGAGCCACATCCCCAGCCCAAGAGCTATTTAAATATAAGGCAAGCATAAGGAAATACTGGAGGATAGAGGATTGGAAAGTAGAGAAAATTAACAAAACTAAAACTTGTTTCTTTGAGAAGATAAATCAAATTTATCTTTTTGCAACCATCAATCTGAAAAATAAAATCAGAAAACAATTCTATTTATGATAGTACCAAAAGAATAAAATAAATATGAATTTAACAAAAGAACACTTGTATCCTGAAAACTACAAAATATTTGTCAAAGACAGTAATGAAGATGTAAATAAAGAGAAAAGATATTCTATGTTCATGGTTTGACAGACTTAATATTAAGATGGAAATACTTTCCCAAATTAATCTACAGATTCAATGAAGTCCTTATCAGAATCCAAGATGAATTTGCAGAAATTTACAAGCTAATTCAAAAACTCATACATAATTGCAAGGGACCCAGAATAACCAAAATTATCTTGAAAAAGAACAAAGGAGGAAGACTCATGCTTCTTGATTTCAAAATATAAAACAAAGCAATAATAATCAAAATAGTGTAGTGCTGGCAGATCAATGCAATAGAATTGAGAGTCCTGAAATAAACCCTCATATTTATGGTTGAATAGCTCAATTTAAAAATGGACATAGTCAGGCATAATGACACACACCTGTAATCACAGTGACTCTGCAGGCTGAGGCAGGAAAATTGCAAGTTTAAGGCCAGCCTTGGCAATATAGAAAGACCCTGTCTCAATTATAATTTTTTTCACTATTTGATATATTGCCTTTTAACTTGATTTTCTGAAATAATTACTTCACTGTTTATGTTTTTTAAAAAGTTAATTATTTGCTGTTATCATTTTCCCTCTAAGTTCAACTTTAGCTACATTTCATGTTTTTGTTGTAAGTTTTTTCTTATTACTATTTCTCAATAAAATATTTTTAAAATGCAAAAAAAAAAAAGAAAGACCCTGTCTCAAAAATAAAATAAAAAGGGCTGGGGATGTAGCTCAATGGTAGAGTACCCCTGGGTTCAAGGTTCCTCCCCAGTATTACATAAAAAAGGGACAAATTATTTGAAAAAATGTTTCATCAAAGAAGATATATAAACAGACAATAAATGCATGAAAGATGTTCAACATGATTAGCCACCTGGACATTAAAAAAAGACAGACAATAACAAGTGTTAGGCTATGGTGAAATTGTAACTGTAATCCATTGCTTGTGGAATGTAAAGCGGTATGGTCACTTTGGTTGTTCCTCTAAAGGTTAAACACGGGGTTATCAGTTGATCAGGTATTCTGTTCCTAAGTAGATAATGAAAATACATGTCCTTGGGGCTGGGGGTGTGGCTCACTGGTAGAGAACTTGCCTAGCATGTTTGAGGCACTGGGTTAGATTCTCAGCACCATATAAAAATAAATAAATTGTGTAATGTTTTGAACGACCAACAATAAAAAATAAATAAATAAATAAATAAATAAATAAATAAAATGAAGTATTATGTCCATCTTCAACTAAAAAAATATTTTAAAAATATTTTTGGTACCAGCTTATAAAAAGCTGGACATGAATGTTTATAAAATTATTATTTATAATAGCCAAAAAGAAGAAACAACCCAAGTGTCCATCAACTGATGAATGGATAAAGAAAATATATCCAATGAAATATTACACAGTCATAAAAGGAATGAAGTACTGATATATGCTACAACTTGGATGACCCCTGAAAATATTAAGCTAACTGAAAAAAGCATGTCACAAAAGACCATATATTGTATGATTTAATTTATATGAAACATTCAGAATAGG